AGCAGGAACTGTTACCATCTTAAGATGTTGAAAGTCAAACAAGAGCCAGTATCTGGACTAAGTGAACTATCTTTAACATTCTGTGTTGTTTTACTTTACATTTCAAACATGGGACTGCTCTGATGTACACTTAAGCAACCATTTGCTTTGCTTACAGATGGAATATTGTGAAATGGCATCTAGGGAATGGTGGAAATTCACTACTAATCCAAGTGAAATTGTTCGGTTTAGAAAAATGCATCAGAAAACATCTGCATAAAAAAAAATGGAGAAATTCTCTGAGATTTTTGATGATTTGGTAAGCCATTAGATAATTCCTCCAAACCCTATGCTCACACAATTTCTTGTAGAGCATCTAGCACAGCTAGAGTCTGAGGTGACTGAGATCCTAAATGTCCGTGCAATGGAAGCATCCACTAACAAAATCTTCATCTGGCTGCCTATACCTACAGCTGGATCTGTGAAATCCTTGAATAAACATATTCTAGGTCTGCAGAATATTACAGTCCATTCTGTAAGCATGCCATAGAAATATATCAGACAATGCCTGTTAGCATGATTAGCAGGATAAGACATAGCTATATTCTGTGAAAATTAAAGAAGCTTAGATGGAGTAATGCTCTGGATCACTGAAAATCAGTGATTTTTTCATAAGCAGCTTTATTTATTAAAACACATTTGTCCTTGTCCTTTTCTGTTGTTTTTGTGGAAGAAAATACAGTAATTTACAGTTGGAACATGAAATAAATTTCACTTGGGGAGAAAAAGCGGGCAGCTTTTCAGTGCAGATTTATTAGATGTCTGTTGGAACAGAATAGGTAAACTGAACAAATAAAACTTAGATTTTATGTATTTGTTTCCTGATGCCCCTGTCTCTTGCAGTGAGCTGTTTAATGCAGCATGTTTGGAAATGTACTGCCCTTTGTCACAGGACATGTCTCTCTTTGTGCATAACACGTACAGTCAGTGAGACTGGAATATTGCTCCTTTCAGCCTAGACCCAGAATAATAACTCAGAATCCAAGGCTACCAGGTGCACAGTCTTGCATTAAGGATTTTCACAAGAATTTCTCCCACGAGCTCGGGAGCACAGGGTGGAAAAGAGGGTTCAGGGATGGCACGACTCCAATGTTATGAATGGTGAGTAATGGCAGCTGCTGTGATGTACCAGGACTGGTATTTTCTGCAGATATAAAGTGTTAGTATGGCCACGTAAGGCATCAGTAAACCTCAGATAAGACTTCATGCATGTTTCTAGTTGTTTGTGTTAACAAAACATGCACAGGTACAGAAGATAACTAGCAGGCTGATCCTGGGAATAAAAATCTGTTTTACATGAGCTTAAAAGAATGGAGGGCTTAAAAGAATCAGGGATTACTCTCTGAAAATACACGTGAAGAGTTGATACCAGGGAGAGACAAAGCTCTTTAAGTTAAAGGATAATACTGGGGCAGGGTCAAAGGAGTGTAATTGCCCCTAAGACAGGCAATTGTGATAAGGTTTCTGAATTCTGGATGGATGAAGATATGGAGCAGCCTTTCAGACACAATAATGGTAGACGCACCCTAAATTATTTCAAGAAGCTTGTTTAAATCATGGCAGGAAAAGATAACAACAAAGGAGTGATGCTGAGTATTATCAATATGTTTACTATCTTTCTTATACTATTTAGATTGACCTACTTAATTAATCCCACTGTTCAGGGCTTTTGATGGTCACCTATGACAAAGAAGGAACTGATTTTCTCCATTTGCTTCTGAGATTTTTTTCTCTACTTTCTCTTAATTGTAAAAAAATTGCTACAGCTTGAGATAGGAATCTGATAATAACATTAACAAACAAATAGCTGACCATCTGTATTATAAAATAAAAACTTTCTTTGTACTTTCTTTTCAAACTTGGAATTAATGACAGAAGCAGAGATGCACAAATTGAGTATTTTTACATAAAGTCAGACAATGTCTCTTTCCAGTCAAAAGGCACTAATAAAATATTTTTAAAATGTTCTACTCATTTTTATCTTTTTAAGAAACCTGCAATCCATATTTTGAATCTAAACAACATAAGAATAATCTATTACATGTGGAGTCCTGATAGTAAAAATACGATGAGAACAGATTTGTTGTGAGATAGCTGTGCCAGAGGATTGGAACAGCATTCTTAAAAGAAGAAATAACACTTGCAGCTCTCATAGGAAAAAGTTACTTATTTGGAAACAAAGGAGGATGCTATTGCTGCCTCTTTATCCCATCAGTAGCTCCTGTCCAGGAGAGAATTAACTCAAGATATTAATGTGTGTTAAGAAAGCTCACAGCTGGAATGCTTCTCTGTCCCACTATGGATCTCCTCTTAGAACCACACACTCCCCCAGCAGATGCACGTTCCAAGCCAAGATGCTTTGGGCTTGCATTGGCTTGGAAGTGAGAAGAAAACCACTGTCTGGGGCACTAAGAAACAGCAGAACTAGTGAGCTGCTCTCCCTGGATTCTAGCATTAATGCAGTGCCCACAGACCATCCTGATGCAGCCATTGGCATCAGCTTTGATCAGCACGCTTTGCTGAACTCCTTCATTAAACTCTAGTAATAAAAAAAAAAAAAAATTTAAAAGGTATGTGAAGGATTTGGCTTCCCTCAAGAGCTTAGGTTGACATTCTTACATTCTTTCCCTGCTGTTCTAAGGGGAAAGAAAAACATATCAAGAAATAATTTTTAAAACAACTGGATAAAAAGTCTGGCCTCCTGTTCCTCTGGGGACTGCAACTCCCTCTGCTGTGTGAGAGTCCTGGATGCACATTGCTCCCATCCTGCTGCCTGATAAACGGAAAGGGCTTCCAAGGCAGCATTTTTTGCAGCATTCCTTCTAGTCAGTTGAGGAGATACTGATGAATTCCAGGGAGAGAATTCGGAGCTGAGAATGTCACGTCTCCCTTAGCTCTGTTTTGCAAATCATCAGCAAAGAGAGATTCTGAATAGCCACAGTGACAGCGGCTGGGCCATAAATCAGGCATACCTTAGTTAAAAAAAAAAAAAGTCTCTTGGGCAAGAAAAATAGTTGTGGCCTTACAAAACTCTGTCTACCACTGCCAATGTTAGAACATAAGTTGGGAAAGGGAAGGGGAAAGTGAAGGAACCTTGAAAAAGGGAAGGAAAACCTTAAAAAGCTGAAGTAATTTTGGTTTAGGCTTAGTGGTAGAGTTTAATTTCATCCTGACTGTAGAGACTTTCCACTCCTGCTTTCTGAGGCTGTACTGATGAGAACCCAGTAGAGCCAAAAGCAGGAATGAAAGACCTTGTGCTTTTAGCTGGATATCCCATATGGGACTAAATATGTATGGGGCAGGCCACGACAAGATTTAAGGAGCATTTATTGGCTGTGGTATCTCTACTGATGGAAAACAGGGTGTTTTGGCAGGTAGCTTATTCTCCTCAAAGCAGGGAGCATGTCCTTTGTCTGAGCAGACGTTCCTAGCACAAATCTGATACTTTTAGCTGGGTAGATTATTCAGCATTGCTTTGCTTTCTACCTCTACCTTCAAGTAGAAGCCAACAGAATAATTTGAAAAATTCATATGATCCCATCCTTTCTCTGTTCCTACTTGCTAACAATTTCATGTCCCTAAGAAAAATCTCTGGTAATACATGCTTACAAGGCATTGAGTGCTCCCACCCTGGCCCAGGAAAGTATAGCTAAGATTTAATTCTCCTCATGGATCAGAATCTAATTCCTCAGTCCATGTTCAAGCTCTCCAAGCCAAGCAGGTGACAAGATGACAGTAGGTTTTGCTGCCTAGGTCAAATTTTTTCATAAAAGCACTCTGGGCACAGGTTCAAATGCAGCTTAAGACACTTCGGAACAAAGTTACAGGGGAAGTCTGGACAGCCATGGCACGTTTCATATTGGAGTAAGCTCCTAAATCACTTAAAGCACTTGGAAAATGCATGGGAATTTCTGGATATGAGGGAAGTGGGAGAAATCAGGATGACACTGACTTGAGAAAACGGGTAAGTGCATGCTTCCATCTGCTCTTATTTAGGAAAATACAGAAATGTGAGATTTCGTGGCAGGGATCTGAGTGTAGTAGCAGGGATCATGTTTTCTGTCACCGAGGCGATATTGTGAGTCAAATACATGTGGAGAGGCTTAGCTGGGTCAAGGTGAGAACG